AATCTGAACTTTCAAAAAATTGTTAAGAATCAATGATCGAGGTGTTTGTATATTTACATATTCTGATTAAATCTTCTTAAAGCAATAGACTATCACTAGGAGTTAGATATTGCACTTCTCATATTCTAGCAGTAAATTTAGCATTCAACAGTAGTTGCAGTTTAGTTTCATTCGAATAATATGACTGATTTTCAGTTTAAAAATGAGACATCACCACCAGTGAGATCAAATGCAAGGTCGTCTAGGGCTTGTGTTCGTGAGGAAGCTACAGCATCAAATTCTAGAAATTTCTTCGGATCTTCTATTCAAGTTCAGTGAGTAAAAATTTTTTCAACTAATTAATGCAAAGTTCTCCATTTATTAAGTCATTTCATTCATATCATATAGTTTCATTTATATATTAAGGAATAGTAGCACAATGCCTTCCCGCATAACGAATCCGTTTGATAGTGATATCACGAGAAGTATGCAGACAATTACGTTAAGTCCGAGCTTGTTTGATCATCCTAAAGTTTGGCTTTTATTTACTGTAGTTGTGACTAAACTTGATTGTGCATTTTTTTCGCCGTTTTAATTAAAAACATGTAAGGAATTAATTTATTTATTTTTGAAACATTGTGCTTTAAAATAATTTAAATGATCTTATATGTTGTTTATTTTTCAAGAATAGTGATGATGACGATGGTGATAATGCAGAAGCATCCTTTCGTTGGTCAATTGGACAAATAGCAGAATTACGTCCTGCGAATATTGACGAGACACAGCTGTTATATCAAACGCCGTTAGTTATTGCTTTAAATTTTTACTAATGAACTGTAAATATGTATTATAGACTTTGTCATGTAGAGATCCAGTGCAAGAAGCTCAAATTCACAGTGCTATCGACAAATTTTGGGCCACTCAAAAATATATTGTACCATCGCCTCAAGTAGTACGTTTTACCGTCTGATCTTTTCCATTAATTTCAATTATATATCGTTGTTTTAGTTACAATGATTTTTTGTGACTTTGGTTTTACGAAATGGTATTGCAGAACTTTAGTTTTTGAGCAGGATTGTTTGTTTTTCGGTATCTGAAAAAGTGTTAGATGAATAGGGGCAAGAACGTTGCTTCGAAAAAAAAATTGAATATTTCTCAAGTTTCGAAAACAACCATTTTTTAAAATATTAATAACTCATTACACTGCATTACAGCTTAAAGAATCAGGAATCAGAAAATCTGTGGCCAGTCCAAGTTCGTTATCATCGCTACCACGTCTGGTACATGAAGTTATTCCATCTTTTGTTTCTAACATTAATTTTGTAATATGAAATCAAATCTTACTTAAATTTAGTAAAAAGGACTAAAACTGCATTATACAAATGCATTCTCTTACAGTTTACTTCATAAATAAGATTTGATTCCTATGTAATCCATGAAATTTAGTTTCGTTCGTTAGATTTTAGCACCTTGATGACTCTCCCGATGGAAGAAAATTCTATCACCAACGTTCTCAGTCAAAACGGTCTGTTGAAATACAAACAATGTTTACTTTTCCTCCAAATCTGGATTTAGTCGGACTTCTAGGTTTATTTCCTTATTTAGTTTACCGTATTTGAATAAGAAAACACTACATTCGTGTGTGATAATATTTAGTTCCACGCTGTGATACATTGTTCTTCATGCTATTTAATTAAAGAAGAAAACGTGATTACAGTTTGAACTGCATCATACAACTATATTTTCCTGGAGCTTATTTCATTCACCAGACTTGTAATTTTAAATTATTTCAATAATTCGTGCCTGGATTTCTGACATCCCAAATATTTCCAGGTAACTGTTTCCAGTACGAAGAGGGTGCAGTGGCCGTATTTGAAGCAAATTTATCGTTAAACACTTTGCGCCAAAAACTTTTCACCGATACAGTGTCCTCGAGAACTGAAAGTAGCTCCTCAGATAAATTTGAGTCCCATGTGTCGTCTATTTTGTTTGAAGGCGAACCACCAGCATGGTACCATTCTGTATGTTTTTTCTTTTTTCACCATCAGCATCAAAAAAATGAGTTACTACATTTCTTCAGTTAATCAACATGTATTTGTATACAGTTGTGTACAATTATTGGTAGTTACATTTCTTATCAAGTTATTAAAAAATGGCATCAAGATTCTCATCTAAATCTATAGATTTTTTTTTCGTGTAGTAAGTATGAACTTTTCTGAAGCATTACAGGATGATGAAATTGTACCACTGAGAAAGCTATCAATTGATGATGCTACAGATTTTGACGAAAAAGAAATTAGTAATCGTTTGTCTTCACCAGATCTTTCACCAATTAAAAAATAAATAGAAATTCGGAAAGTGGCGCAGATTTTTAAAGCAAATTTTTTTTCTTACTTTTTCTCACAAAAAATCTGCAACAAACTAAGCAGCTGTATGACTTCCTCAGAATTTTGTATCCTTACTTTTACAAATCAGTGAATTTGTAAGTCACCTTTCCTACTCTGTAGCTTATATTAATATTACTTAATCCATCAGATAACCTTTATGTTCGTTCATCGCTCATCGTTATTTAGTGAAATTGACATCACTGATCACATAATATTGATACTATTATGGAATAAAATCTATGCTTGGTTTGATACCTCAACAAAAAAGGATACCAAATCTATTGTACAAAGTGAAAGATTAATAAATACGTGTCTGTCAATCGAAATGTTTTACTAGTTGGAATACTACAAAAAAGAATTTACATTTCATAACATAAGTTGCATATCATTTACCATGGAGTCGTCATGTAACAGTTAAGAGTTGTGATGAATTAAGTGCATGAGGTTCATGCTGATGTTTCTGACTGATATGAGACGTAAGGATGCGAGCGCAGAAAGTAATGAAACTAAATACACTCTTTATTTCATAGGAAAGCAAATGAACTATAGAACATTAGTTGTAGCATCTCACGAATTTTAATTTACGTATGAAGGAACCATAGCTTTGCTATCCTGCACAACAAAAGATGCAAGAAGTCATATTTCAACCACAATTGCTTATATCGACAATTAGAATGCTTCAACGGTAGATAGCTGATAAAACAAGGATAATTTCATGAACATAGAAATATACATCAAATCAAATAAAGATGCTTTGCACGTCATTTATTTTCCCATAGCTTTCATAAATCACTCCGTAATTTGCAACGTGGGAAAAATTTTACAACTTGACGATGAAGATTAATAATGTCTTTACCTGCTACACAACAAATTTAACAGAACAAAATTAGAGAGTAATTTGAAGAGTATTATAACAAAGCTTCCACAACCCGTTGTTTGCACTAAATTCATACAAGATGTAAATAAGTTATGGATTACAGTAATAAAATGTGGTGAGTAATAGAAATTAGAAATGCGAATAAAGTTGCATCGCCATGAGTGCATGGAAATTGTAGATATTTACTTGCTTTACTTCCCCATTTTAAAACAGCATTAAATATCTTCTAAATGAAATGTCAGATACCTATGCTCGTATTTATTAAAATTCGAAGACCGTGATCGCTGTCTGAAAAACTTTAATATTCAGAAAAAAATAATCTCCATACTTTTTAACATTTCTGTGCTAGCCAAAAGATATGACGATTGAAAAGAATGGAAGTAAGTTTTGTAAGCTTATTTCAATATCTATACAAGAGCTAAAGAGATAGACTAAAAATTAGTTTTAGAACATTATAAACAAAGTTTCAAGATCAAAAAAATTTAACTTTCTTAAAACAATAACAGGCTATATTGCTCGGCACTTTATTAAAAAAGCTATGAAGCAATCAAAAAATAAAATTAAAAAAATTGCCAAATTTGTAGATTTTCCTAATAAAATTTTGAAATTTAAGGCTAAATGATTAATCATCAGATTGTAAAATCTCGGAAAACAGAAAGCTCCATTAAAAAACCCGCTCCCTGATGAACATATTTATTAAACGACTGTTCCACCTGGGTTTACTGAAACTGGTGAATTGATCGTATTTCGCTCAAACATTACCTGAAACTGTCTTCATTACTTCATTATTTGATGACAAAATTTATTTACTAGGTTATGCTTTTTCTTATGATCTTCAAAAAAGATATATTACCAAATCTTAAGACTTCACAATAAAAGCCGATCCTAGACTTGTTTCACTGAACAAAAATTCGAAATAAATGAATGTTAGAAAATAAAAAAAGTGGTCAAATGAAGAATATATGTGCACTAAAATTTGATAGAAATATTTTTTCATAATGCTTTTTCAATATTAAAATAAAACAGTAATACTTTTCCAGGTCGAGCCCAAGTTAATATGAAGCCTTCCTGACAAGCAGTTACTATGCAGTCTTCACGAAATACTAATCCAGTTAATCGCTCATGAGCGATTTTCTTACAAACCAACGGTTCAATCATTGCCACTTCGTCCATTCGAGGGCATATAGGCGTCCCTAATAATTTTGCAGCTTTCTCCTTTGCCTTCTCATTTGCCAATGCAGAAGAATGATTTCTCATCCACCTAAAAAATGGAAACTGAGTAGAAATATTTTATTAACCTAAAAACCTAAAAAAAGAAAAAGGTTCGTTTTTTGTAGTTTAAAACTTGGGAGTGATGTACCTGTCATGAGAACCACCAGTTAACTTTGCAGCGAAGCTAAAACCTCGTTTGTGTTTTTTTTCTCTTCCATGAGATCGGTCTTTTACATCACCAACTGTATATTTCGATGAATCAGTGGTACCACACATTATCATATTCTATAGAGAGAACGTATCAAACAATTAAAGAGAAATATGTGCAGATACAAAATTCATTTTTTCAAAAACATGAGGAAGACTAACGAAAACGACTAATTTAATTATTGCATTGATCAGTTATATGAGAAAGACATGTGAGAAAAATTTCAAGTACCTCGTCTGTTCCAATAGAAATTATAGTTGATCGACGATGCCTCTGACTAGGTACAGTATGCTTTAGCACATTTTCTGTTAAATCCCACAAACATAGCTGAGTATCATGTCCAACCGAACCAATTCTTAATGAGGAAGTAAAGTGATAAAAGTCTAATTATTAAGATGCATAAAAATAAATTTGGAATTATAAATAAAAATATTTTTAACTAAAATACATATTGCATATAACTAATTCATTCCCACTTTACTGTACTTAAGGATTTTAATCAGTCCGCATAAAGGATGGCGCTACGAAGTCCTACAATATATATGTGAAATTTAACAATATTTACCTGTAGGTAACACCTAAACTTGAGCAAGGACTACAGCTGCCAGATATAACAGGATGTGAATCTTTGCGTATTCGTGTTATTTGCATTCCATCCCGGATACAAAACATTGAATTGTTAACTGAAATAATTCCAAAGTTTATTTATGTAAACAATTATAATGAAAAAATAAATCTTCCATTATCGAAATAAATACTCAAAAATTTTTTACTTACTAGATCTATTAAATTGCAGTACTTATATGTAAAAAAAATACCAAAATTCTTCTTCGATGTCAATGACGTGAGCGGGACAAGAACTGAAGGTGAATGAGACTCAATAAAAGATGATGACCCATTAAACTGTACATTATTGACCACAATGCGATTTGCTGCCTGCACACCTAAACTTAGAACAAGAGATATAAAATCTTTCATAAATTTGAAGATTCATGTTTTATCCAGAAAAAAATGGCACTACTTGTAAAATTAGTTCACACAATGCACTACATGTTTTTGGAATCTAGAAGCCCCATATATTTGCGATGGAAGGAAATATAGATCGAAAATCAGGCTTTACTTCTGTCATCTGTGTACCTTTTCTGACTGAACTTTGATTCTTTATTGAAAATCAATGGTCTTTAAATGATCCATTACACATTAATTATTTGTGAGCATACTGCCAGAAATTCTGAGATATTCAATATTTTTATCGAATGAAGAATTAGCATATTACTATATGATCTGCACATTCGCTGATATATTTCACAAATCACTGCAAATTTTAAAATCTAAAAAAAAATTTCTAACACTTAATGCCATTGCTATTTAAACTTGATGGGTGCAAATCTTCATCAGAACCAAGATCTACTGGAATATTTGACTGGCCAACCGTTTCCGTTGCACACGAAGCATAAGGATCGAATGCTACCTAGAGTATCAAAACGAATATGCAGTTATTAAGGTAGGCATTTTGTTTCAAAAAAAGCGAATATGCAGTTATTAAGGTAGGCATTTTGTTCAATAGACTAACAATTTGAAACGCAACAAAATTTCTGAGTACGAAAAATGATGTAAGCAATCAAGAGATATACTTTCGAAATCCAGCTTCTATGGCCTTGTCCCCTACATACAACCCGTTTCTCCAGAACCGAATAAACTGTGATTAAATCATCCTCGCCACCAGTAACAATGTACCGTGCATCAGGACTCCAAGCTAAACATAGTAATCCACCAAAGTAAGATTTCATATATGCTATCAGTTCCATTGCATGATAGTTGAAAATTCGCAGAAAACCATCCTGAATATAGATTAAAGTGGAATCGCAGTAGAAATGATGTAGGGATCATTATAATAAACAAAATTTGAAAAGATGATGAAGAGAAGTGAGCAAAGTATAAGGGAATATTTGACTGGCCAACCGTTTCCGGTGCATATGAAGCATAAGGATCGAATGATACCTATCCTTATGCTTTATATGCAACGGAAACGATAATAAAAACAAATTCAATGTTGACAATTATTTACCTGACTAACCGTAGCAAACAATTTTGCACCATCACCTGATGAGAATGCAAATTCGTGAAGTGTACCATTTCCAATAGCCCACCGATAAACTGGATTCCTCGACGCTTTTGCTTTACATGTATAGACTACAAACCCATCTCCCTAAAGATACTACTCAAAATTATTTAAAGGTTTTGATTATGTGACAATTATTAAAATGATCACCGAAAATTATTCAAATATAAACATAAGCGGAGTAAATTTTATTAATGTATTGAAATACTTTGAAATCACCTGCTTAAATATTTGGTAAACGGGGGGTGAAGAACTATTCGATAAGTCTTCATTATATAAATATGCATTGCCACTAGTATGAGATGCCAAAAAACACTGCTGCTGTCCTTAAATAATTTTTTCACACACCTCGAATTTTCACATCATAAACTTATTATAATGAACTGATTTCTTCGAAAAACTAATAGAAAAAAGGTCACAAAAGTTTTGCTTTAATATCAAAACAATAAATCGAGATATGAGAAGACAACATGAGCAAAAATTATAAAAAGTGACCGGGAATCCATTTTAAACAAGTTACTGCTGTCTTATCGATTAATCTGTCTTCATTGTACAGGCGACTAACTTGAGAATCTTTTCGAAATGGATCAATTAACTGAATTTGTCCAGCAGAAAATCCGATTATTAGGCTGCAAATTACAATCATCTTAGTCATCACTGAGATTTATTTAGTCTCATTACTGCTTTGAAAAATGTCGACTTCACAAATTTTTCCAATTTTTATAGAGCTCCAATTAACAGCGTAAGTAATGTTAATCTTAATCTTTTTTCTAACTTAAATCTCGGAATTGAAGATTCTCGAGACCTTGAGAATTGAAATCTTAAATAAATTTAGGCAAAAACAATTCCTGTATTATTTTGCACTGCAACTAGTTATGCTTAATCTTACTTTATTTTAGTATCTAAAAATTCTGTTAAGTGCTATACTCCAATAAAAATTGAAACTGCATATAAAGTTGCACACATGAAAATTCTATGGTACTTTATTTCCAAAAGCCAAAAATTTCGATGACCAGCAAAACATTGAAATTTGAAAACTGAATGACATCATTTAACGTCGTTCAATATTTTTAGTATAAGAAAATTCGATTTACATAATACACAAATCGGAAAAATTATTTTTGATTGGCCTCGAATAAAATAAAAGATCTACTATTATATAATTACAGAACCTATAATTTTCTATGTTAGAACTAATGTCGTAATTTTCGAAACATATGAGTTTCATGCTCACACCAATAACTCGCTAAGGTGATTACTGAAGTGCAAAGCAAATTTAAAGTTATACACTTCACGTAGTTTTAAGAAATGGTCAGGTCACGATTAAAAATTTTTGGAGGTAAATGAGATAAAAATCCAGTCGAACCTGCAAGAAGTTGCAGTAGCAGTCTCTTGATTAAAATCATGCGATGTAGGATAAGTACCTTTGTACACTCGCTTATCAACTGGTTTGTTTAAATCAGCTGCACTCTGAACACCTCTAAAAGAAGTAACCGCATTAAACAAATTTTACAATGGATATGAATAATTAAGAGTACAGAAGAGTTTTTAAAAAATGTATAGTCAAATAATTTGGAAAATGAAAAATTTGCAAAAATTTGAACACCTGCATGCTGATTGAATACAAAATTTTAGCTCAATTAAAAAAAGCATGTAAAAAATATTTCAAATTCATTTTTCCACAAATATCATTAAAATAAAAATACATAGAACATACCGATAAACAAAGACATATAATTCACGACCAACATTGAAGCATATTCGATCGTTACTACTCCCCAAATCACAGTCTGAACAAGGAGAATTCTTTTCCTCTAGTTCATGGTCAGGATCACTATCCAACATACAACTGTGCATTGACTGTATGTTACCATTCAGTATTACATTATTTACGGTCTGTCCTTGCGACAAAGCCGATGTCGTTGGATTAATGCTGAGAAATGATACACGAACAGGTGTATTACCCACATTGTTACTACCCTGATCATAAAAATATTTGAAACTTAGTAACGAACACTGGAAACAAAGTAAATAGAAATATAGATCAGCATCTAGAAAGTGTGGGTTGTCCAAATAATTGACAAGCATTAACTTAATACACAATTTTGATCGAAGTTCAGAGCATAAAATCTAAACTGTAGAATTAATAACCGATCATAACAAATTATAGAAAACTCAGAATTAGTCCTGCCTCACATAACAAAATCTAAACTTTATCTGAAATTCTTAGATCCAATCTGAAAACCTTTAAATCAAAAGTTTATACTACTGATATTTTGTATTTCATGTTAAAGAAATTGAAAATAAACCTGATTCAAAGGGATACGATTAGGTCTTGAATATTCAGAAAGTGTCATTTGTTTGTAAACGCCTTCACGTGTAATGAAGTGGGTCTTCAGATCTTCTTTGACTGTACTTAACTGTTGAAGAGATGATGAGTCAAGCGCGCTCCCAGCGGCCAAATGACTGCTTGCAATCATTGCATACATACATTAAACCTTCGTAATATTTTGAGTCCTTCAATTATAAAAGTCAAATGCCTATGCAAAATATTTATTAGCTAATAATACTTCAGATAACTGGAAAATAAAGTTGGAGAAAAAAATATCGATGAAAAAAATTATTTAATTTTTAAAAGACATCGATTTAATAAAAAATAAAGGAATTTTTGGCCAAGATCATGACAAGAAAAATGTATGAAATGGCATCAAAAAAAATAATTGGAAGTTTTATTCCATATTTGTACTTATAAATATTAACCACTAAAAACTGCAAAACAAGCAGAGAAATTATTCTAATACAAACGACCTCTCTGAAAAACTTTCTACAATATTAGCTATATAATCCTTGCTCACCTCATTAATAAAAAGCAGTATAAGTGCATATAAATCAAATAGTTGGAAAAAAACGACTAAAAATTATTTTTTAAGCAGGTTTTTGGATTTGAAAAATAAATATGCAGTTGAAAACCATATATCACAATCATAACGAGTTTTAATCATCCTTGATCATTGGAATAAACTACATAAAAGTGATTTCTCTAGATAATAAGATGAAAAACAGTAATAATTATCGACTAAGTAAAAATGTCGATTTAACAATTTAAAATTTTTTAACCTCATTTCATTTTATGCTTTGCCAAACTCGCTATCAAATTATATGAATTTTTTTCCTGAAGATCAACACGAGCCAATTAATGAGAAAAGTGAAAACAGAAGACTAACTTGTGAACAACTGATAAATAAGCAGCGTAGTTTATAAAGCACCATAACGAATCCGCATTAAAAGATCATCTGGTCTTCATGGCAAATTGATCTTGTAAGCTTCTAACGCACTCGTTTACCATATTGCATCAGCTCATCGCTCAAAAACTTCGTCCTCAATTCAGCTTGAATGTTTGTGCTCTAAAATAGAATTCAGCTTTAATTACAATGCAGCAAAAAATATGTATTTCAAAGCATCTTCTTATCAATGTTGCTTTTCACTCTAAAAATTTAACAAGTTTTTTTTAACACATCAGATTTAAGAATCTAAGATATTCAATCTAATAAGTGTAGTTCTTGATGCAAAATCTATAATCGGTTAAAAGCGCATAGTATATGAAACCAACTAAAGAAGACTGTTCGCTGTAAATAAACAAAACTTAAGAATGATTGATGAAATCGATAATTTCTAACTATAAAAAATAACAAACATTTTGCACAATTTAAAAAAAATCAAAGAGCAATATTGCAAAGCCAAATTACAATAAACATAATAAGGAGAATGAAATGTAAAAAGGATGACAGAAATAGCCATCATTAGTTCAAAACAATCCTCTACTTGTTCATTGTTACAATATTCAAAAAAAAATAACAGTACAAAAACGATATTTGATTTGAAATCTGATGCACTCATTAATCTATAAATCAAACTTATTTTGATACTCTGTAAACAAAATATGTTACATAACACAGAACTAATTTTTTATATCCTTGGAAAAAACAGCACTGCTTGCTTTCATAATAAAGTAACAATTCAAAATAATTGTAATTCAAATCTTTCTTACAAACACTTAATATTTCTAAAAATACGATAAGATGAATACGAAAATGATAGGATAAAATAAGATGTTCACACCAATACAAAAATTTCAAGAATACAAAAATTTCAAGAATACAAAATCAAAAATTCAACATGAACAGATACTCACTTCACTTCGATATTAGCCAATAAGCCGAGAATTACAATGCATTTTTTTAAATTAATATTGCTACAAAAAATGAAATATAATAGCAAATTTTGCATTTTTTTTAAAAAAAAGTAAAAAACTCTATACATTAAGAAGAAACGCTTTGTTTTAGTTCATAAATGCATTATTTGCATAGTAATTGTTTAAATAATTTATGCAAAAATAAAAATTTAAAAAAAAAAACTGTCAAATGTTATGTGAAGAACACGTCTGCTTACTTTTGGTTCTATATGAGTGTTATGGAAAAAAATATTGGTTATCACAGCTAATAAAATTTTAATTTTTCATATCAGTAAATGTAAATTAACTTTAATATAGCAGAAGAGGTAAATTGTGATCAAGAGATTCTGCAAAGTCTACTACGTCTTTGATATAGAATCCTTAATTCTAGAAAGTAGTAAAATCTACCCAGAAACCAAAATATTGGGCAAATTTTCACAAAGAATCCCAAGATCTAGTTGAAGAAAATAATAAGGACAAGAAGTAAAGAAATCTTACTTAAAATATTGATAATGAAACCTGCTTGATTCAGTTAAGTAGCATACCGTGCCGACTTAGCAAACCAAAACATCTGTGAAACACCGAATCCCAAACTAAATTCACCATTATTTCACGCAAGTGTTTAAGTGAAATTTTGTGCTGATTTTGAATTATTTTATTTCACTCTGATTGTAAGAACTCACGTACTACGTTAGAAACTGATAAATAGAAATAATAAGTAGAAAAAACTCTATATATCAATAAAAAATGCTTTGTTTTTAATAAGATTGTCTTTCACGTTTTTTTTTTTTCAAATGCCAGACTGTTTGTCGTAATTTGCATATATGTGCGATATTTCTTATTATTAGAGTAGAATAAAATTACTCTTTTAGTAAAATATATATAATTATATTTTTATAATTATTTTAATTACAAAGTAGATAAAATGTGGAGGTTAGTTTTAATTTTCGCTTTATCGATTCTGCCGCTGGATCGCATAGCGGCACTCTGGCAGTACTTGTCCCGCG